GATGATGATGATGGGAGATGATGGGAGATGATGGGAGATGATGATGATGATGGGAGATGATGGGAGATGATGGGAGATGATGATGATGATGATGGGAGATGATGATGATGGGAGATGATGATGATGATGGGAGATGATGATGATGGGAGATGATGATGATGGGAGATGATGATGATGGGAGATGACCCCCAGGGCTGCAGATCCACCAGACCATAACCCAGACTTGTCCTGGTGCAGTTTTTCTACCCCTCCCCCGCTGCATTCTCTCTGCTGCAATGCTGAATCGGGATCGGATTTAATAACAGATGCGAACGTATCGGATTGTATGAGCGGATCTGATGACGCGGGCTTTGCTGCCTATGTGCGGGATCCATTGCCTCAAGTCAGTTGGCCAATCTGTAAAAACGAAGTAAAGATGCTGCAGGGAAGCTTCCTTTACAAGACGGTGTGGCGGTGGGATGCGATGAGTGAGAAGAGCGCGGCCTACCCCACAAGCCTAGGACCCCATCATGATTCTGTGTCTTCCTTTTAAGGGTAAATGGTCCTTCCTCCAACATCTGCCAAGTCCACTCTTACCTCAGCTGATGAAACAGTGGCAGTCCAAGTCCCCCAATCCTCCTCTTCATGAAGCCCCCCCCTCGCCCCCTTATCTGGCCTCTGTCTTAGGGGGTAGAAATTACCTTTTGCTCCAAATTCCCTTCTACCAGGACCTGGAAGTCAACGTCTGGCTCATGCTTTGGACCTCTGAGGAGCTCAGCCGGCTGCTGAATTTCCTCCCTGCCCATGTCTCCTCTGCTGGGATATTTGGGATTGATCCTGGCCGGCCATGGTCCTTCTTCCCCAGGAAAAGCTCTCCATGGTGTAGTTGGATGAGGATTATGGGTCCCAGGCGTGGTTCCGGTTGTGGCTCACGTTGCCGATGTTGGGGACGTCTCTTCTATCTCTGCAGAAGACATCTGAGACAGGAACCGCCTGACAAGGTCATAAAGGTACCAAAACTCCGACAGCAGTGTAGCTGGTGGAACACATTCAGCGTTGGGTGGATCTGCAGGTTCTGGTTCTCTCTGCAACGTAGACTCCAGGAAGCTGTTCTGACGGATCGCTGGGAGACCTAGGACACGGATCTCATGGCTCCCAGCTTCAGCGGGAGTCTAGGGGGGTTTGTGGGATCAGCAGAGCCGGATCTATGCGTTTCCCCCTCTGGGGCTGCTGTGTAGTACCTGGAAGGCAGACACTTCCTTTTCATAGTTCTGGACTTCCCCTAGAGCAGTGGTTCTCAACCTGTGGGTCGCGACCCGAAAGTGGGTCACAACCCACTGTTGAGGGGGGTCACCACATGCTTTGTGCTGCGCTAGGTGAGGGGCTCCTCAGCCACCTCCTAGAGCAGCAGTTTCAGTTCTCCGGCCGCGCCGCTAGATGGCGCTGCAGCACTGGCAGCCAAGGGGGATCAAAGAGAGGGGAGTGGGCGGGAGTGAGGGGAGATGAATGCCGGCTTGTCCACCAAAGAGCCCCACTGGCCACCACAGAGCCCACACTGGCCACCACAGAGCCCCATTGAGCTCACAGAGCCCACACTGGCCACCAGAGAGCCCCATTGAGCTCACATGAGCCCACACTGGCCACCTGAGAGCCCACACAGATACTAGTATTGGTGCATTCCTACATTTTAACATTGGGGGGTCACCACAACTTGGCAAATGTTACCAAGGGGTCCCAGCCCTAGAAAGGTTGAGAACCACTGCCCCAGAGGACATTATATAGGGTTCTGGTTCATGTAACAGACGTGTTGTGTGCTCTGGATTGTCCAGACTTGTTGCTGCAAGGCTCCATATTGCATGGAGGCACGGGTGTGGATTGCCTGGCTGTTGGACTGCGGATGCCGAGAGACGGGTCTACTGAAGTCGGTTGTTCCCAGCAGGCTGGAGGCTCCCGACTCTATCTCTGTACCTGGAAGGCTCAGGGGTGCGAGATGTTCGGGTTCAGTCCCCACTCAGGGTCTATTTTGGGCTAAGGTGGTGTCCATTCCTCTCCATGAGGACATTGTTCTGCCTCCTCTGTTGTCCACCCGGAAGTGATTGCCGTCATTCTGTAGCCGTAGTTTGGGCTAGGAGAGTTTAGGTGAAGGACACTCGTCTTCTGAGGGATGGGATTCCTAGTTTTCCCTCCTGGAGGTCTCTCTCGTGGGTTTGGTGGCATTCTCCACAACCATTTCTAGACGGATCCAACAAACCATATCTCAGGTCCCTACACCGAAGCCCCGGAGTCCTTCCTCAGGGCAGCGAGGGGCGTCTCGGCCTTTCCCTCGTCAGAATTCAGAAGCCATCTTGGTGTTGTAGATGTTACAA